GGGGGAAGAGTTGAGCCAGGGGAGATTCTGAGCAGTGGGGAGTTTCTCTGTGTTGGGGGGAGGGGGGAGTCCTAGCCTGAGGAGTTGTGGATTTTACCTCCTCATGGGAGAAGGGGCTGAGCCCTGTGGGGTCAGATGGGATGGGGCAGCAGGGCTTGAGCTGGGACTAGGGACTTTCTGAACAAGAGGAGGCTGAGCTGGAGGAAAGGGGCTCTAGGGGACTGGGTGGAGAGTTCTGAGCTGGGAGGGAAGAGCATGGGGCAGGCGGCATGTGGGGGTGAAATGGGGGATGATGAGTATGGCTGAAGGGATGTGGGTGGGCATGAGGGCAACGGGCAGGAAAAGGTTAGAGTGGAGGGACAGTGAGACGAGAAGGCACTGAAGGAACTACAGAGGGGAACCCAGTGTTCTTCCACCATGTCCTTCACTGTGAAGTATCTCCGTTTATCATCCTCCACTATAACTCTCCCTCAACACCCCACCAGTCTCCTGGTTTTCCAGTGTGAAAATCTGGTCAAGCTCTAGGAAAGGTGGGAATCAGATGGGGGAGAAGGGTATGGACCCCCACCCCCACTTACATTGGGCACCAGCCACCGCTGCGTAAGGCACTGCTCCAAAACTAAAAAGAATGTCTTGGAGTGCTTCTATTATTTACATGTTCAGTAAAATCCTCCTCAACCACGGTGTACCAGAGTGACCTTTTATCGCTGCTGAGAGGAATTACTGGCTAACAGAAGACACTATTTCTGTAACAGAGACAGCTGCAATCCTATGTGTTAAGAGTCTGCAGACTGGGGTCTATTCCCAATTCAGGGACTGACTTACTGCCTAACCTTGAACAAGACACTTAGTTTCTCTGGGCCTCAGTTACCCTCTCTGGAGTAATGGGGATAGCAGAGCTCACCCACCTTTGTAGAGCACTTTGAGATGTGCAGGTCTGAAGTGCTATATTGGGGTTCTCAAACTGGGGGTCATGACCCCTCAGGGGGTTACAAGGTTATAATGTGGGGGGGTCACGAGCTGTCAGCCTCCACCCCAACTCCCGCTTTGCCTCCAGCATTTATAATGGTGTTAAGTATATAAAAAGTGTTTTTAATTTATAAGGGGGGGGTCGCACTCAAAAGCTTGCTGTGTGAAAGGGGTCACCAGTACAAACTGTGCGATATAGAATTGACTTTAGTATTATCACGGTAGTACTGTGCTGCTCCCTGAAACATTGCATAGGCAGTGCGTTACGGGACAGGCTGTGGAGTTGGTAAGTACTCTATACAGCAGAGTGGGAGCTGAACTTGCTGCGGGCCCACTCCGGCCAGTAAGGACAGCTGCAAGACACGTGGCATGTAGCCCTGTATGAGTAGTTGGCTGGGAAGCAGCAAAATGACAGCTGGGAACAGGTTATATGAAATAAATCCATACTCTTTTTGCATGCGTCCCAGCTATGGAGGGACTGAAATCTCCTACCAGAGGAGCAAATAAAAGGAGGCAGCCTGAGACACTCAGATGGCCTAAGCCCCCAACCATGTAATAGATTAATAGATTTTTAAGGCTAGAAGGCACCATTAGATCATATAGTCTGAGCTTAGTTCCTCAGACCCCAACTGCCCATTAACTGGAATTATTATTCGTATTAAACAGTCCTCACTGCTGGCTCTGTTCAGTGAGTTTAAATCAGTTTCTCAAGCCTTTGGATAGCAGAAATGCATGTGCACACAGTGAGGGCTGCATGTAGCCCATAACACCACCCTGAAATATGGTGTGGCGCAAGGATGAGCTTGTGGTTAAGGCACTGGACTGGAACTCAGGTGATCTGAGCTAAATCCCTGTCTTTGACACAGACTCCCTGTGTGATTTTCTGCAAGTCACTTAATCTCTCTGTGCCTTGGTTCCCTCTCTGTAAAATGAGGGTAATAGCACTTCCTTTCTCCTATTCTTTGTCTGTCTTGTCTATTTAGCCTGTAAGCGCTCTGGGGCTTTCTCTTGCTCTACGCACATGCTGTGCCTAGCACAATAATGAGAATACCTCTCTTGTAGCACTTTTCATCCATAAATCTCAAGGCACTTTCCAACGGAGGTAGATATCATTATTCCTATTTTAAGATAGGGAAACTGAGGCACAGGGAGGCAAAGTGACTTGACTGAGGTCACCCAGGAAAGCAGTGGCAGAGCAGGGAAGAGCATGCAGGTCTCCTGAATGCCCTGATCTTGGGCGGGACCTCTAGACACTACTGTCATATAATAATGAAGGTAGAACTTTATAATTTATCTGAGGAACTCATGTACTATGAATGATACACATAGAGACACAGATGGAGATATACTCTGATAGATACAGATGGTTCCTGAGCTTTGAGAGTCTTGGATGGAAGAAGCTAGACATGGGCAGTGGATTATTTAATCATAGTGATAATCCCTAGCTCTTACCTAGCGCTTTCCATCAGAACAGCTCAAAGCACTTTTCAACTTTTAATGTATTTCTCCTCACAACACCTGCTATGATCTTCAAGCTTGGTGTGGTCCAATCCAGTGTAGGGCAGAGCTCCCCAGAAAACTCAAGGGAAAGTTCTGCTTCAAAACGTATTGGCAAAAAGAAAAGGAGTACTTGTGGCACCTTAGAGACTAACAAATTTATTTGAGCATAAGCTTTTGTGAGCTACAGCTCACTTCATCAGATGCATGTATTGCGACGATCTTACCCTTTGTCCGTAGTGAAACTTCCTGCTGCTCCAGACCGCACTGGCCTGGCAGGGGCCCAGCTCCCTTGCATGCTGCTGGCTGGTGCTCTTGTACTTTGGGAAGAGAGGGGAACCTTTCCCTTTCCAGCCCATGCCTCTGACGCACATCTGAGTCACTCCAGACTGCCCTGCCCACAAGGAGGGGTATTCCTGACCTCCCGGAACCCCTGCTTGGTGGGGCTGTGCAGGCTGACGCATGTGGCTCCAGCCAGGCAGCCAGGTGACCTTTTCCTCTTGACAGGATGTTTTAGTTGGGGATTGATCCTGCTTTGAGCAGGGGGTCGGACTAGATGACCTCCTGAGGTCCCGTCCAACCTTGACCTTCTATGATTCTATGACAGGCACAAGGTGTCCAGTCCAGAATCATATTTCAGCTCAGGGAAAACAGAAGTGCCCCTCACCTCTCCACTCTCCCAGAGCAGGGAAGAACAGGGTGAATGGGAATCAGAACCATGGGGCTCCCAGTTCCTGCTGCAGTGCATGGAGCTTGCCAGCTTCCAAATGTTTTAATAATTGCAGGTCGCAGACTTACACGGACACTGCATACAAAGGCTTTAGGGTTGGGAGAAACCTCACTGGTGATCCCTTTATGAGGAAGAAATGTCCAGATTTGGGGGCTGGGAGTACATTCATTATTTTTATTTAAGTTACTACACTGGGGGGGGGGGGGTGTAATTTTAGACAACACAGAAGAAACTGACAGAATCATAGAAGATTAGGGTTGGAAGAGACCTCAGGAGGTCATCTAGTCCAACCCCCTGCTCAAAGCAGGACCAACCCCAATGAAATCATCCCAGCCAGGCCTTTGTCAAGCCGGGCCTTAAAAACCTCTAAGGATGGAGATTCCACCACCTCCCTAGGGAACCCGTTCCGGCGCTTCACCACCCTCCAAATCCGCTGTTAAGTATCCCTCCCTGTGTTCACGTCAGCGACACTTGCAGCTGCTGTTGTCCATCAGGGTCAGGGATGGGTTTGGTGTGGTTGCTGGCTCGTTTTCCCACGGGCGGGCTGGGAAGAGCTCTCAACACGCGGGCGGAATTCGTCTGCAAAAGCCAGGGAGAAAGAAGACTCCAGCTCCCCCCAAGAGAGACCCGAGTTCCTTCCCTCACTTCCCAACGGGGAATGCGGAGCAGGCAATCCGCTCTGCAGAGGCCGAAGCGAAGCGCACCGACCGGACTGCGGGTCTGCTAGCTCAACAAGGCGGGTTCGGTTTACAGCTCAGCTCTGCAACGTGTCCTTTGCTTCCCCAGCCTTGCGCAGGGAAATCCCTGTCTGTGCTCCCGCCAGTGACGCTGGGGAGCTCAGCAGCGCCCCCAGCTGGAGCTATAGGCGGTGTGCGCCTACAGCTCCCATGAGACAGTCTCCAGTCTGCAGGTCTCATTGCCATTTTCCCCCTCTGGTTTTCGTTACACCCGCTCAGTAAATCCTCCACCCTGTGCATTGCGGCTCCCCTGTAATGTTCGGGATCTTGCCCCAGTAATACGATACATACGAGCAATAATATCAAATCTGATGAAATAAGAAGGGGCTATTAGGGGAAGCCACATGGCTTCCCTAGGGAACAGGCAGTCCCGCACAGAGTCAATCCACATTCAACACCAATCCTCGGTTATAACCTGGGAGCAGGCACGGGTTGCTTCTCGTGCACTTGGGGAAACGGGAGCTGGGATCGGGTTTAAAAGCGTTCAGTCAGGCGTGTGACAGGGACACATGCCCACGCCTGGAAGATCCGTGCTGAGAAATCTGCTCCCTGAATGGTCTCTTTGCAAGGAGCAGGGGAAGCGTTCACACGCAGCAGTTCGTACCTAGACCCAAAAGCAGAGTGCCACAAGTACTCCTTTTCTTTTTGCGAATACAGACTAACACGGCTGTTACTCTGAAACTGATCCACTTAATGTTCCCAGAACTAACCTCCTCCGTTTGCCCTGGATCCAAACGGGTCTCTTGTGGGGCCGGAAAGAGCCACCCCCTCTCCTTGCTGCGCTAAAGCGCGTTTCAGGGCGTGGGCTCAGAGACCCCCGAAATCCCTGCTTGGGGTGGGGCGCGCTGAGTGTCCCCCCGCCTATCCGGCCGACTCCCTGGTGCGGCAAAGGGCCAAGCTGTTATTCCAGGGACAGGCGAGTTCACAGGGCGGAGGGGGTCTGATTGTTTCATCCCCCCCCCCCCCGGCCTCCTTCTGCAGACAATGAGTCTCCCACCCACCCTCCTTCCGCCCCTCGGGTGACCGTGATTTGCTCCGGCAGCTGGGGGCGATCCCGGCCGGCGCTTCCTGCGCTGCAGCGCCCCTATAAAAACGTGGGCACCGAGCGAGCGGAGGCATGACCGAAACTTCCCAGCGCCGGGCGCGCCGGGGAGCAGCCGATTGCTCGCGGGGAGCCCCCCGACAGCCAGCCCCTGCTCAGCTCCGCCGCCCCGCACCATGCTGGGGCTCTGCCTGGCGCTGGTGGCCACGGCCCAGCTCGGGCGCTCGGCTCCCGCCCCGCCGCAGCCCGTGGGCGCCCAGTGCATCGAGCACGTCTGCTTCGGCCTGTTCTGGGGGCGGCAGCGGTTCCCCGGCGCCAGCCGGCTCTGCCAGGCCCGCGGGGGGCAGCTCATGACCGTGCGCTCCACGGTGGCGGAGACCGCCATCGCCCTGCTGGTGCGGAACCAGAGCGACTCCAGCCTGTGGATCGGGCTGCAGCTGCCCCCGGGCCAGGCGTGCTCGGAGCCCGCCCGCCCGCTGCGGGGGTTCCGCTGGGTCACGGGCGACGAGCGCACGGACTTCACCCAGTGGAGGCCGGGCGGCCCCGTCTGCGGGCGCCAGTGTGTCGCCGTGGCGACGCTGAATCTCACCTGGGAGGAGAAGCGGTGTGACTCCGAAGCAGACGGCTTCCTGTGTGAGTACAATTACCCTGACACGTGCGCCAAGCTCTCCCCCGGGGCAGGCCTGGCTGTGACCTACACCACCCCCTTCGGGGCGCAGGACAGTGACCTCCTGGCCCTTCCTCCCCAGACCACTGCCTCAATCCCGGCCCTGGGCGTGGAGCTGGTGTGCCAAGAGCACAGCAGCGGGGGCATGCGGTGGAGCTCAGCCAGCCCCGGGGCCTGGCACTGCCAGCTGGAGAACGGCGGGTGCGAGGATTCGTGCCAGTGGGACGGCGGGACCCCGCGCTGCACCTGCCCCCAGGGGAAGCAGCTGGACCAGGACCAACGCAGCTGCTCTTCCCTGTGTGCCGACGCCCCCTGCGAGCACCACTGCATCCCCCTCGCCCTCAACTTCACTTGCATGTGCCACGAGGGCTATGAGCTGGCCGGGGATGGCATCAGCTGCAGAGACATTGATGACTGTAAAACCAACCCGGGCCTTTGTGACCAAGTGTGCATCAACACCAAGGGGGGCTTCACCTGCCAGTGCCACGCGGGCTACGAGCTGGTGGAGGGCAAATGTGAGGACGTGAGAGATTGCGACGGAGAGAAATGTCAACACCAGTGTGACGATGTGCCAGGGGGTTACCGCTGCAGCTGCTCCAGTGGATACGCCCCATCCCCCCTAGACCCCCATAAATGTGTCCTATTTTGCAACCAGACTGAATGCCCAGCAGACTGTGACCCCCATACACAGGATACGTGCTACTGCCCTGATGGCTTTGTTTTGGATCACTACAACGGTAGTGCAAAGATGTGTGTTGATATTGATGAGTGTGAGCTAAACTATTGTGAACAGCTGTGCACAAATAAGCCAGGCAGCTACACCTGTTCTTGCCAGGAGGGGTACAGCCTTGACAAGCAGCACTCTTGTATTTCTGAAGATGAGTTTTCAGGTGAAATGGAACCCTACCCAAAAACAGCAGTCCCCCCCCATGTCCCACCGCCTGCAGACAGCCTCCACCCTGGAGTGCTGATCGGAATCATTATTGGCATCTTGTCCACAATTCTGGTCCTGATGGCCATTCTCTACCACCTGATGAAGAAGCACTTCCCAGTTCATGGAGCCATGGATTATAAATGTAGCAACAGGACAGAAAAGGGAGTGATGCTGCAGCAAGTTCCCCCCGGATGCCCCTCTGCTAACCAGAAACTGTAAAGAATCCCATTGGATTGAAAGGGGAAAAGATGGAATTGGGTGAAATTTTTCAAATTTCTGATGAAAACTTTTCAAGGAAAGTCATTAAAACTTTGCAGGGAAAATATTCACTATTTTTCAATGAGCTGCAGAAAAATATGCTTTGCAAGAGATGAGAAAACTGAATGGTAGAGCATACAATGCTGAGCTAGTCCCATTTGTGCGTCTTTAAAGAAACCCCTAGATGCCTTTTTGATTTCCCCCCTTTTCCAGACTTGGCGAGCTTTGTGGGGTTTAAAGAGAGAACTTCATTATTTTTTGTGCATTGAAAAAACTGCCCTTGTTTGGAACTGACTATTGAAATCTGACTATAAAACAAGAGAATATATGCAACTGACTATTCAACAGTAATAGACTTTGAAGTGGTATGGTGAAAGCGGCTTTCATCCAGAGACAGTGTCATGAGTTCTTTCCCACATCAGGCTGGAGCTACTGAGCAATCGAGAAGAGGTGGAATGCTCCTGCGACAGATATAGGTTTGGTTTATTTTTTAAAAACTGCTAATTACTAACAAGTGGCAAAGACCTTTCCATCAGTTCTTCCCCTACCTTCCATCGTCCTGTCCTCTTTGTTATCTGTAAGAAATTGCAGCTCCCCACATTTATCTATTTTAGGGGTTTGTGCTGCCACCCATTACCACAGTATCTGAGCACCTTTCATGTAAAATCAATAGCAAAAGCAAAGCCCCTTATGGACTTCATGGAATCTCTGCCCCTTCTCCCTTTCAGGGTCAGAACTCTGCTGATTTGGTTGCTGTTTGTTACAGGTTTTTTGTTTTTGAGGGGGGCGGGTGTTTGGTACATGGAACTGTCAATGGTGTGTCATTCTTGCTTTGGTGGAAAAGCCTTCCCATCTGATGGTTGTGTCTTCCATTCGCATTTTCTCTAGAGGTTTTTCCCCCTTCTCTCACTGTCAGCTTAAAACATCATTAATAAAACCACTTCATATTCTCCTGTTGATGAGAACATACGAACCGCCATACCGGGTCAGACCAAAGGTCCATCTAGCCCAGTATCCTGTCTTCTGACAGTGGCCAATGCCAGGTGCCCCAGAGAGAATGAACAGAACAGGGAATCCTCAAGTGATCCATCCCCTGTTGCCCATTCCCAGCTTCTGGCAAACATAGGCTAGGGACACAATCCCTGTTCATCCTCCATGAATTTATCTAGTTCGTTTTTTTTTTTTTTAAACCCTGTTATAGTCTTGGCCTTCACAACATCCTCTGGCAAGGAGTTCCACAGGTTGACTGTGCATTGTGTGAAAAAATACTTCCTTTTGTTTGTTTTAACTCTGCTGCCTATTAACATGATGGCAGGGCATTTTTGCCCAGCGCTGCTAAATCCCTCAGCCCCTGTCCAGATGGTTGCTATGGGCCCAGTCCTACCCACACAGTGGCAAAACTTCCATTGACTTCAATGGGAGCAGGCTCAGGTCCTCTGTCTGCCATCCAGTACTATAGTGGGCAAAATCCAAAAAAATTATTTCACATTTTCCTTTCCAGATCCTTTTATCAAGTGTTGAGATGAAGGGTTAGGAGGCTATAAAAGCCAAGGGTCAGACCAGTGTTCAAAGGAGACGGGCAGTATAACCTTAATGAGATTGTGGGAGAAAATAAGTCCAAATGCTGAGAGAACTCCAAGGGCCTTTTTCTGCTTCTATGGAAGCTTTGACATTGGCTTCAAGAGGAGCATGATTGAGCTCTACCAGATAGGGTCCCGTGCCTATGAAATATTGATATGCAGCAGTGCTCAGTTTTCTAGCAGTACATTTTACAATTCTGGGATAGCAAACCCAGACATATAGGTGACCGCTTGGAGGTCATCTAGTCCAACCCCCTGCTCAAAGCAGGACATAATCCCCAACTAAATAATCCCAACCAAGGCTTTGTTAAGCCTGACCTTAAAAACTTCTAAGGAAGGAGATTCCACCACCTCCCTAGGTAACCCATTCCAGTGCTTCACCACCCTCCTAGTGAAAGTTTTTCCTTATATCCAACCTAAACCTCCCGCACTGCAACTTGAGACCATTACTCCTTGTTCTATCATCTGGTACCACTGAGAACAGTCTAGATCCATCCTCTTTGGAACCCCCTTTCCGGTAGTTGAAAGCAGCTATCAAATCCCTCCTCATTCTTCTCTTCTGCAGACTAAATAATCCCAGTTCCCTCAGCCTCTCCTCATAACTCATGTGCTCCAGCCCCCTAATCATTTTTGTTGCCCTCTGCTGGACTCTTTCCAGTTCTTCCACATCCTGCTTGTAGTGTGGGGCCCAAAACTGGACACAGTACTCCAGATGAGGCCTCGCCAATGCCGAATAGAGGGGAACGATCACGTCCCTCGATCAGCTGGCAGTGCCCCTACTTATACAGCCCAAAATGCCGTTAGCCTTCTTGGCAACAAGGGCACACTGTTGACTCATATCCAGCTTCTTGTCCACTGTAACCCCTGGATCTTTTTCTGCAGAACTGCTGCCTAGCCACTTGGTCCCTAGTCTGTAGCAGTGCACGGGATTCTTCCTTCCTAAATGCAGGACTCTGCACTTGTCCTTGTTGAACCTCATCAGATTTCTTTTGGCCTAATCCTCTAATTTGTCTAGGTCCCTCTGTATCCTATCCCTACCCTGATTGATGAACTGATTGATAAAGAAGCATGCAGGCTACCAGCTGGTTGTTCTTAAGAAAGTTTACTGTTAAGAGATTGAGAAACTTGATTTTTCTAATCTTCCCCTTTTGGGGTGAAAATAACTGTAGGTACATACAAAGTGAGACTGCTAACACATGGTATTATTTTTTTCCTGATATGCCAGAATGATCAAAATACATTTCAAATTTTGAAAAAAAAACAAGAAACAGAAGAAGAAATGTGTTACATGAAATCTAGCTTTCTTACTGTAAATGGTTCAATCCATGGTTTTGTAAATGCAGCACATTTGTAAATAGTTATTTATTGGAAATGTACCCTATGCAATGCAAAATCACTGCGTGATTTCACAGGCATACAAATAAAGCTTGACAAACCTGGTTTATAGAAAATGTGGTAATGAAATGTTCTTTCTCTCCTCTCCCCACAACCTCCCTGAATAACAGCAGATGCTGATCTTTCCTTACCAAGAACAATTTTGTTACTGGCCAGATTATCAGAAGTGCCCAACTCCCACAGATCCCATTGGAGTCCATGCGTGCTGCAAGTTCCAGCACCTTTGAAAATCAGGCCAAACATTCTTTTATAACTATTTTGCAAGTGTGATTATTATCCGTGATAATGGACTGTAAATAATAGAGAACAAGATTAACATTAAAAGATCAATGTTAATGAAATAGAAATAAAATGATAGCTACGTAGGGCCAGATGTATCCTTCGTGTCACTCCACTGAAATATCTATCTATACACACATACAAAACTCCTTTGAAGTCAGTGGATTTTTGTGAGTGTGAACAGGATTTGGCCCTGTGGGAGTTTCCTGTGGCTGAGACAATTTTGCCATATGTCTTTATCCAAATCCTGTTGACTTGAATGGGAGTTTAATATGAGCAAGGATTGGGCCTAAAGTTTGTACATTACCGCAGATTAAATTAGCAGTAGTGGCACCTGTTAAAGTTGAAATGCAGCTCCTGCTATAATCTTCCTTTTCCAGTTGCTCATAAATTTGACAAATAAATTCCTTTTTGGGCTGAATTTACTCCCATTCCCAACCCAGGGGTGAGTTTGTTTATAGAAAGCTTCAGCAAAAAGTTCTGAGCTACTTTTGAGCGCTGCACAGGGGAGAAGAGAATCTCCTCTGTGTGTTCTGATCAGAGATTGTGGCACTGGTGAATTAAACACAAGACTGAGAGTGGGGAGGCCTGGCGGGCTCCACCGGGACTCGCTGTGTGACTTTGCCACATCTCTTTAAACTCTCTGTGCTCCACTTTCCCCTTCTGTACAAAGATTACCTTCCTCTCAGGAGGGTTGTGAGGATTGATTAATCCTTGTACAGTGCTTTGAGAAAGAAAAGTGCTGCATGAAGAAATGTCCTGCCCAGTATCCTAGTTTTACTGACTTCTGCAGGGAACAGAGGGGGCTGGGGAATCTGATGGGCACATATGTTCCAAAGAAATGAGGAGGGATCAAGGTTGGGGGAGGAAAGGTTGCCAGAAGCATTTTCTTTGGCAAGAAAATGCAATTAAAAGGTGATGGGTGAAACCCTGGCCCCCTTGAAGTCCATGGGGGTTTGGCCATTCACGTCCAGGACTTCACCCCTAAGAGAGAAGATTGACAATAAAAGATGAAGGGGTGGCCCACTATCCATGGGTGGTCAGGAGGTTTTGGGCAAGGATAGCTGGTTTTGCAAAGCTTCCATCCAGGGTGGCTGGATTCCAGTGATCTCACTCAAGGATGGTTAGGAACTGGTCAAGGGCAGCAGCTAGGTTGTGGAACCAGTCCACATAGGTGCAACTCAAGGAACTTGCAAACTACTGGCAATTCTTATTGTGGTTTCCCTGGCCCCCTTTATTTCTCTAAACCAAAGCAACAAAAGTCCCAGAACCAGAAAATTAAAGGGAATCCAACCTTACTGTAAATCCAGGCTGATGAATGAAAACCCCAACATCATCCGGAAGTGCCCTTGTTTCTGTGCTCCAGCCCCATGCATCCAGGGGCTTGTGTTTGGTGCAGGAGTTACCTTTTATTTATTTGTTCTCAGCTGTGCTCTCTTTCCCAGGATTTGAGCCCAAATGTTCCTGTCCGCCCCCAGCTGCACGGGTCCAACTCCTTGGAGGGTAATGATATAACGGAGAGTAGGATTTGCCCCTTTGGTTTTCTAAAAGTCGATTACCAACACTTGCTGCAGCACCTCCAGGACCCATCATTCGCCATTTTAATAACTCCTTTCAGAGAGACTTTTTGGCCATGTCCCCTTATTACTCACAGGCTTTTAAAGTCTCCAGGCCTGATTCTCAGTGACATTTAAACCACTCTAACATAAAGGAACCTCAAAGGGGTGAAAATGGCCCTCTAAGAACACCTGGCCAGTGAAAAGCTGGTGAAATGCTCTACAGCAGCCTGGCTTCCAGGTCCCAGCACAGGAAATAGATCAGGGGTGTGGCTGGACTGGATGGCACTATGGCTGTTCATTGCTTCTCAGAGCTAATTGAGAGCCATGGGAAGCAGCATGTAAATTAGAGTCACCCTGAGGCTTCTCTGACTTATACCAAAGGGCAGGCAGCGCCATGCATAGCCCCAGACCATACTAAAAGCCACTTCATCCCCTCTCTTCATCTCTGCATTCTCCCTGCCCCGGTGCAGGAAAGGAGCAACTGGGAAGCAAGCTTTCATTATTCTAAGAGGTTTACATTATGTACGTCCACTTCAATTTTTATTCAAAGCAGCTACAAGTAAATGAAATACAGATGTTTCCCCTAGAGTTCCTTCATTGTATGCCCATAAATAATATTGTTTTGTTTTAAAACAACCCCAAAAGTTTACATCTAACAGTGCATCCAAGTGTTTCCCTTTGGATGGCATATGAGAGACTAAATCCAACACCAGGAGGCTCGCTGGAGTCCAGGAGACCCATGGGACAATTCCTATGAGAAAGGGAAGTGGGATTTAGTGTGATACGATGAATTCCAGCCCTACAAATACCCCACCTGCCACTGATGTAATCCATTGAATATGGGTTCCAGATGATCCACCCCACCCTGATTTACGTGTGGGAGATCTTGGACGGCAAAGTCAGGTCAGGGTTTAAACTCCCAGCTGAGCCTTCATTTGAATGAACTCTTGGAAGATCCAGCTGTGGGTGAACGATTCCCCCCTGATTTCAGTCCTTTTCTCCCTCTGCCTTTTGAGCTTTGCCCTGGGCTGCTGTGTCAGCCAGCTCACCTGTCTGCCGACAGCGGGAGAGCTACCAAATATTGTTTTAACTGTTCAGGGTGAAGCAAAATGTAATTGAAGGGCCGGATATTGCCAGGCTCTTTCTACAGCGCGTGGAGGAGATGCACCCAAGGAACTTGCCATCTGTTTTAAGTGCCCTGCCCACATGCCTGTGACAATGAGACAGAGGCTGCTCCCTCTGTGCACCCTCTGATGCCCTAAAGGGGTTGGAGAGGAGGAGGACCCATCGCCCTTGTTCCCCTGCCCTCCATGTACCGGTCAGCTCTGCTCCCAGGCACTCAGTGGGCAGCACGTAGCAGCAGACAAATTCTTCCTGTGCATTAGGGAGCTGCAGCACAAATTCCTGATAGTACAAACTGCGGGGGGAGGAACGTAAGGAGTCTTGGTACAGGGGCCGGGTAATTGCAGTTAAACACAGTGACTGCTCCCTGTTGGAGCTTGCGAGGGTGCAGCCTACCTCATGGGGGGTGGGAAGTCTGTGGAAGGAGTGCCTCTCCCCCTGCCATCCACTAATACCAGTTAGCAGAGCTCACCAGTTATAGAGAGGAGATGTGCTAACCAGTTATGTGGAGGAGAACATGCTGCCATGACACTCCCCCCCCCCCCGCCCCACATACTTATAAAATAAACAACACTGAGAACCAAACTCCCCGCACCCCCACCACCAAGAAATAGATTCCTCTAAAGGGACTTCCAATTAGGGTTACCAGATAGCAACTGTGAAAAAACGGGACAGGGGGTGGGAGATAATAGGCGCCTGTATAAGAAAAAGTCCCCCAAAACGGGACTGTCCCTTTAAAAACGGGACATCTGGTCACCCTACTTCCAGTGGAATTCATGTCCTGTTCACACTGCCAGCTGTACGGTCTTGATCTTGCACCTTGTTACTTGCTCCCTGTGCAATCATTGACACCAGTGCAGGATGCACGCAAAGTAGGTACAAAGCAGTTGCATAATGCTACCACTCTGGTTTGGTGGTGTTTAGCATTCACTTTGTCTTGGAGTAACTGGCCCGAGATGATGAATAACAAGTAAAATCAGGAGGCATTAAATACCCAACACTTGAGTTTTTGAATTTTGATTTGTAAGTGACAAAAATAACCAAGCTGGAGAAATGAAGCTTCATTGAAACGTGGTGATTTGTGGGGAAACTGATCCAGACTTTTACAAAGAGAAGTTACCTGTCTGATCCAGACTTCCAAGTCCTTCATTTGGGACAGGCCACTCTTAATTGCTTAATTGCTTCTCTGCCCCCATGTACTCCATGTTAAATGTTCTAATTGAACATTGTCCTCTTCTCCAGTGAATCCAGGCTTTGTAACTAGGTTAACGTCCTGAACAGAAAGGGAAGGCCAGAGAAACTTCTGAACACCAACAGTAACAATCTTCCCCAGGATATATGTTGGTTCAGAGTCCTAGGCCTTCGGTGGGACATTCAAAAGCAGTCAGTGTTGGTCTAAGGCAGGGGTGGGCAAATTTTTGGGCCCATGGACCACATCAGGGTTGTGAAACTGTATGGAGGGCCGGGTAGGGAAGGCTGTGCCCCCAAACAGCCTGGGCCCTGCCCCCTATCCGCCCCTCCCACTTCCCGCTCCCAACTGCCCCCCTCAGAATCCCCGACCCATCCAACCCCCCACTCCTTGTCCCCTAACCGCCCCCCTGGGACCCCACCCCCATCCAACTCCCCTGCTCCCTGTCCCCTGAGCCCTATTCACACCCCTGCCCCCTCACAGGCCCCCCCAGGACTCCCAGGCCTATCCAACTGCCCCTGTTTGCCATCCCCTGACCCCCCGCCCCAGAACCTCCACCCCATCCAACCGCCCGCTGCTCCCTGTCCCCTGACTGCCCCCGGAACCCCCTGCCCCTTATCCAACCCCCTCCCCTCCCCCCCCTCACTGCCTTACCATGCTGCTCAGAACAGCAGAAGCTTGCCCAGCCGGAGCCAGCCACACCACCGCGGTGGCGTGGCGAACTGAGGCTGCAGGGAAGGGGGGACAGCAGAGGGGAGGGGCCGGGGGCTAGCCTCCTCGGCCGGGAGCACAGGGGCTGGGCAGGACGGTCCCGTGGACCGAATGTGGCTGCGGGCCCTCATTTGCCCACTTCTGGTCTAAGGCCTGATCAGCACTTAAAAGTTAGGTTGACATAGCTATGGTGCTCAGGGGGTGTGAACAATTCCCACCATTGAGTACATGGCTAGGCTGACCTCACCCCTGGTGTAGACGTGGATAGGTCAATGGAAGAATTCTTCCTTCAACCTAGCTACCAATGCTCAGGGAGGTAGATTATGTAAAGTGATGGAAAAACCCCTTTTGGTGCTGTAGGAATCACCTACACTATGACACTACAGCGGCACGTCGCTGCAGTGCCGGACCTGGGCCACTGTAGCAACTGTAGTGTAGACACGGCCTCCCACTGAAATGAAGAGGAGTTTTACCACATGGGAACAGAATTAGGCCTGGTCTCCATAGGAAAGTTGGACTGGTATAAATATGATGGTTAGGGGTGTGATATTTTTTACTGATACACTTCTACTGGCACAAGCTCTGAGGAGGATACAGTTATGCTGGAATAAAGATGCTTTATACCAATACAGTTTATTCCTCATCCCCACCCCGTTCCAGTGTGTGTGTGTTTGCCCCACTTTAACCAGACCAGTATAACACTAGCCCTATACCAGCATAGTGAGGAGGCAGAACTTTCTCGTGTAGACAAAGCCATAGGCCAACACTGACGGCTTCTGAAAATCCCATCCAGTGTATCTGAACTAGCTGAAAAATCAAGAAAAAGGACGCCCCTTAAATTAATCATAGTAAAAGTCCCCCAAACATGCCTTTTCTACTATTTCCTCTGACCCTTCTACTTTGAATAATTTTTATAGCAAAAAAACAATGGAAAAAATCAATTAAATATCCAGAGGTGTTTTAAGTGAAAAAAGTCACAACATAAACAAAAACCTACTCTATAGCCACCCCTAAAAGAAGCTATCCAGTGGGATTTTTTTTAGGGTTATCATCTTAACTCAGTCAGATGGGAAATAAGATGCATGTTTTTACCAGTGAGGGTAATTAACCACTGGGACAGGTTGCGAAGGGATGTGGCAAATTTGCCACCACTTGGAGTCTTTAAATCAATACCGGACGTCTTTCTACAAGATACACTCTAATCTAGTTCATCCTGCAATGCTGGGTTTGATGTAGGACTCGCTGGGTGATGTTCTGTGGCTACAAGGGGTCAGATTAGGTGACAATTCTGGCCTTAGATCTCTGAATCGAAGACACTTAACTAAAGCACTCTCGAGATTTGACAATATCCTGAGTTACATGCCGTGTCAAGGCTCCTGTGAGCAGCAAGGGAGAGAAGGGCGTGTTTCAATGTTGGGAACATTTGTAGTCATGGGGCTGAGTGCTATTGTACACATCCAAGGCATGGCACTATCCCAGCACAGGACACACCCAGAAATTAGATTTGTACGTTTTGTTGCTTGAGCATAATTGAAATGTTATTAAAGAACCTCTCCCATGCCAAGATCCCTTTGCTTCCCTTGTGTGCAATTGAAAGTTAAGAACATCGTAACAATTGTCAAAGTCAAAAGAGCAGCACGGGGTTGTTCTTTGGGAACATAACCTTTGCCTGTACATCAGCTGGCAGTGATGCAGTTGAAGAGTGATCAGCAGCTCTGGGAAATCGTGCAGGGCCCAGCACTGGTGGTCGCTGTGCAAGCATTTGTGGGGCCTGAGTCTCCGTTGCCCTGCATCTTGTGCCATCCTTTACATGAAGGCAAAATGGGCGCGACATGTTACCGGATCAGAACACTAGGGACACTTTACACTGGTGGAAAGGACTGCACAAAGTGAAGAGCCAGGAGAACCAGCCCCGTGATGAGCTGCCAGGAGAGTGCAGTGGTTAGCCAGAGGACAGGAGTCACTTCATGCCATTTTACAGGGCATATCCAGCAGATGGAATCCCTTACATAAATCTTCCCAGGACTGCTATGGCTCCCAACACCCTGATCTCGAAAAGATAGATGCACATGCTTATCCACGCTGCGAGCTGTCTCATCGACTGACAACAGGACTACTCGCAGTGTGGAACGGTAAGCATGTTAAGTAAATGGTTCAATCCCTGGTGGGGGCCCAAATCTGAAGCATCACAGATAAACCTGTCCACCTCAAATTATTGTACTCCTTTGTCAACTGAGAGTGATGAGGATTAAAGTGGTCTCCAGCGTTTGACTTTGGACATGTGACTACTTAGATTGTGAGCGCTCCAACTGTCTTTTTGTTCTGGGTTTCTAGTGCAATGGAGTCCTAGTCTCTCACTAGGAGCTTTGGTAATGGTAATAAGTAACAATAATGAGTGTTGTAGAAGAGAAGACCAATGAGACCGTGTTGATGGATGTTGCCACGCCAGCAGACAGAAACATAAAAAGGAAACAAGACGAGACGATAGTGAAGTACTATGCAGACCTCTGCCACAAAGTGGAACGATTATGGAAAACTCGGACAACAACGATTCCAGTGATTGCTGGAGCACTTGGAGCAATCTCTTTAAGGCTATGAACGGGCAGCTCAAGAACATGTTAGGACCATCACAATCAGTGACTTCCAGGAGACAGTGTTTTTAGGTACTGCAAGAATTTTAAGGAAAGCCAAACAAGAACAAGTGCATTTGAGCACCTAAAATGCAGGAATTCTGCGGAGGGTGGAACAAAACTCCTGACTACCCAAACCTTCAGAGTCAGTTCATGGTTAGGATTTATTGCTGATTCACCGGGATACAGTTTAGACTGTAGCTTCTCACTTTTTATGCCTAAAGATCTTGTATGTTGTGAAGGCTGTTTGTTTAAAACACAAAACCACTCCTGTAATGTAATCCTGAGGGATAATAATAACAGCGTTACAGGCCAACATTATGGCTTTTTATTTTTCTATGGCACAATTACAGATCGGATCATTCATGACACAACTGCAGCTCAGTCCTACCCACCGTTGCTCTTTCTAAGGATCTAAAAGAACCTCAAGCATTTAAAAAGTCTAGATTCTGTTTATGTTCATGTCAATGGCAAAATTCTCATTCACTAAATCAGAGCTAGACTGAGCCTTAAATCAGTACTTTGGGGTTAGGTTACTGTCACTCGTACTTTCTGCAAACTAGGGTACTATTTTCCCTTTAGACACATTTTACTAGGTTAATGGGTGGATTTTCAAAAGGACCCTGCAGCCCCCATTGTTCTTAATGGGAGTTGTGCCCTTTTGAAAATCTAGTAATAAATTGCTAAGGATGGCACATTCCTTTCCAAACACTGGTCACAAAAGATTAAAGAAGATATACTCTCTCTCTCTCTCTCTCTCTTGCATTTTAATTACCAGCCTGGCCTTAGAAGGGCTGAGCCTGTTCCCAGTGAGAGCTGCAGAAAAACTCCTCCTGAAGTCATCGGGCTCAGGATGTGGACCCAATGCTGACCATTAACCTGTATCATATCCCTAGCCTCTTGTGCTGAGCAGGCTCATAGGAAACAACCCATGTCAGAGAAGCCAACAGAGTACTCCTGCCCTGTGAGCAAATGCCTGGGATGGGAGTGGCTAAGAGAATCCTCATTCTAGACCCTTTGCCACCTTGAGTGGCACCTTACTCCAAGCATGGTCCCCACGGTCTCAGTGGCAAGGGACTGCTCAGGCTACAGAAGGAATCGATCAAGAAACAAGCCCAGCTACCCAAAGAGAAAAAAAGCAGGGGCAGCTCCCTCAGCCAGCTTACCCAGCAGCCATACAAGCCCCATCCCAGCCACAGCCCAAAGGCAGGAGCCAACCTAGAAGCAAATGGCCCCAGGCTGAGGACTTACGCAGGCTTCTTTACCCCGCTCGTCTGTTTCTGAAGGGTGAGATGCAGCAGCAGGGCGATGGTGCTCATTACAAGATGCTGGTCCTGCAAGGCGCGGGCTGGGCCAGGAGGAGGCACCCTTTCGGAAGGCAGGGGTCCCGAGGAGGAGGACACATGCCATCTAGAAGGTGGTGGTCTTTGCAAGGAGGGTGCCGGGTGTACAGCAGGGCTCAGGGTGCACCGGCTCCTGCTGGCAATGCAAAGACGGGCACATGCAGCCCTTGCTCGTCTCCTCCCCCTTGGGGACGGCACAGTAATCTAGCGGCTCCTCCTCCTCTTCCTCCTCAGCGCCATCCAGGTCCGGGTGGCGGCAGCAGCAGAAGCTGGCGTTGCAGCACCGCCGTAGCGCCCCATGGAAGGAGTGCCTGAAGTTGTCCGAGAGGAAGCCGTAGAGGATGGGGTTGGCGCAGCTGTTGGAGTAGCTGAGGACGAGAGAGGCACTGTTCACGGTGGCATCCAGGTGGCCGGGCAGCAGCAGATTCACCAGCTGAACCACGTGAAAGGGCATCCAGCACACCATGAACATGGCCACCACGATCAACGCCAGCCGGGTCAGCTTCCCCTCCGAATGCCGCCACTGCTGCCAGCCCACCTGCTGAGCCACCGCCCGCATCTTGCCCACAATCGGCAGGTAGCAGAGGCCCATGGCCAGCACCGGCAGCAGGAAGCCCAGCAAGGTCGTGTAGACCACAAAGGCAGCCGCCCAGGCCGGACTAGGCCACAGCAGGTTGCAGGCCACTGCTCGGCCATCGTGCGTGCTGGCGGTGCCGGCGAAGATAGGGATGGGCGAGGCCACCAGAAGCGAGAGCAGCCAGACCCCTCCGTTGACCATCTTGGCCACCCGGGGCCGGCGGTAGGTGGCTGCCCGCAGCGGGTGCACCACAGCGATGTAGCGGTCCAGGCTGAGCACGGTCAGGCAGAAGACGCTGGTGAACATGTTGAGCCCGTCCACGCCCAGCACGGTGCGGCACAGGGCCCGGCCGAAGGGCCAGTGGTGCAGGGCAGCCGAGGCCGCCACGAAGGGGATGCTGAGCATGAGGAGCTCGTCGGCGATGGCCAGGTTGAGCAGGTAAATGTTGGTGGCCGTCTTCATCTTGGCGTAGCGCAGGATGACGAAGATCACCAGTGAGTTGCCGAGCAGCCCCAGCAGGCACACCAGGGCGTAGAGACACTGGATCACTACCGTGCCCGCAATCTCTCCGGCATTGCCACCCCACTCCTCCGCCCTTTGCAGCTGATCCAGCTGTGCCAAGGAGGTGCTGGCGTTGGGAGGGACGTCAGAAGCCATCCAGCTGGATGGAGTCCACATAGCCCCGCTCCCCTCCTGGGATCCTGCAGGCAGGTGCTTGGCATCGGTGCTCATGTTGGCAGCTGTCCCATCGGGAGGAGAGGGAGCAAAGGGCTGCAGGGCCTGGATGTGGTTGGGGATGGATGATGCTAGAGCATGGGTGATGCTGGGGAGGGGGATGGCTGGTTTTGCCTGCTAAGGAATGGAGGCTGCTGAAGGATGGAGGCTGCTGCCAGGAGCTGGATTCTGTTGGGGGACGAGTGGCTGCTGCCTGCCAACGGATGGTGCTGCCGGGAGATGAAGAATACTGCCGGGGTTGGAGGATGCCGCCTGGCAGGTACGCTTCTCAGCATGCAGATGGTTCAAAGAGAGACAGAGAGAGAGAAAGAGGCAGAAATGTGAGTTTTCAGTGCCTGTAGCAGCAGCAGCTGCAAAATTGTGCTCTCTGCTGCTGCTCCCTTAATTGTCAAATCGCTGTCACACACCTCCGGTAGCTCCAATCACAGGCCGCCCTCCCATCGGCAAGGGTGCCTTTGATTTGCTTCACGGCGAGACAATAGTGTACTGCAATATGCAGCCCTCGGAAGCTTCGGCATTGACCGATTCAGACAATGGATGCAGAGCCAGGGGGTGCTGTCATTTGCTGCGACGCCTCTGCAGCAGTGGCCGCTGGCCGTTAAATACAAAGGAATGAGAATAATTAAACTTTTCCTCTTCACTGAGGTGTTCCCCAGACCTTAATTATTTCATTAGCCCCTGCAAGGAAGGTCCATAGAATGAACAAACTTTACCGCTGCTGAGCAGTACTCCTACCCGGCAGACAGCCGCAATGACATCAACAGGCTCCGGGCACAAGAAGGTCCTAATCAAGGTGAATAAAGTTAGCGGGATCTGGCCTTTTTAAAGTAAAAGACAGGCCATTCTCCTTCCGTTTTAATCTGAGTTATTCTCATTTGCTTGAATCATTTCTGGCATGTTTCCACAAGAAGGTACAACTTTCTGATCAGGAGTTTCACCTTTAAAATCAATGCCAACCCTTCCCCCTTCTGTTTGATATTCGCCTTGCCAGTGCTCTGAAAATGGCTGAGGGAAACGCTTCCTTTTGCAGTATCTCCACTGTCAGTCCGAGAAGGCTGTTAGAAGGTGGGGGGGAGGTTCATAATACACAGATCAAACAGTTGCCGGTAACCCTGCGTAATAGCTGCTGGTTGCATTGCAGGGGCTCACAACCGGCAATCCGGGCATCTTGGCGAGGGGGAGAGAGGTTCACGGCAAAATTGTCCCCACTCAGTAGCAACATTTACATTTATCATCCCAAAGGACTGCGCAAATTATATACGTACAGGACTCAAGGAGGTACCTCTGGGAGACAGTCATGCAGGCAAGCGGCACACCGCACAATGCAAGGTGTCACCACATGGGCTAGGCATTTGAGGAAAGAAGGTTTCCTTGGCAACTAGAGATGGCCCTCCCTGATTGGCTAGCACTCAAGTGTTTGGTTTGAAATCACTTCCCACTGCAGAGAAGAGCAAAGGGTTGGGGTTTGCCTCCCCCCCCTCGTCCCCCAGATGGAATTTCTCTTGCCAGTCTACTGAAGTGGACACAGAAGCAGAGCAGGGAAAAGGAAGGAAGGGAATCAAATAAACCAGTGGTTCTCAATCTGGGGGTCTGCTCAGACTATGTCTGAGGGGTCCCCAAAAGGCTTAGACTGAAAACTGACTGAACAGAATTCAACAATATATACACAGACAATAGATTTCCAAAGGAGCCCACGTCTCCATTCGTCATTTCCAAAGGTGTCCGCAAATGAAAAATAAAAAGGTTGAAAACCACTGAAACAGACCAAACAAAAACCGAGTGCAGAAGTCATTCTGATCCCCTGACTCTCCTTACTCCACAAGCAGTCCCATTGGCTTGGATTATTCGTGGAGTAAAGTCCCGTTTGGCGTGTGTAAGGGTATCGGAATCCATCCCTCCGGGAGCAAGGGAAGGATTCTCTGAACAAGCCCAGTGGGGAAAGGGCAGAAAGAACAAGGGGCAGAATGAGCAACCAAAACAGCCTCGGGTAATCAAGAGGGTAGAATGAAGCAGACAGCTGGCCTAGAGAAAGGGACCTGGGGAGGAAATGTGGACACTGATTATGCCTAGTGAGGTGCAGCTAAAGCAATGACCCCAGCCTGACCCAGAGGGGACGCCTGGCTGCCCCGGACCAACCAGGTGTGATGTGGAGGAAAATCAAGGTGCAGCCATCAGCCCGTATGAATGGAGTAGTCAGCTGTGATGGTAGCAAAGGATTTGACCACCAGTGTGTCTGTTCTTTTCTAGAGAGACAAGGTGGATGAGGGAATATCTTTTATTGGACCAACTTCTGTGGGGGACAGAGACAAGCTTTCGAGCCACATAGAGCTCTTTGTTGGGTCCCCTTTTCTATTTGTTTTCATTTTGCTTTTTCTGTTCATTTATCATGAGTGTCTTTCTTTGGCATCTCCACCGGGGGGTCGCTATCAGAACAAGCCAGTCTTATCTTGGTAGTGGAGCTGGCAGGGGATTTGTCCATGGCTTCACATTTCCATCAGAAAATGTAGATTCAGGGAAACTGAACTTTTTGTGCAAAGGTATCAGTTCGGCTAAACTTTCATTGGGAAGATTTCTCAGATCTCACGTGGAATTTCCGGAGGCAGAATGAGAGATGTGGGAAATGGGCAATGGGAAACCCAGGTTCAAGTCCTTGCACTGCCTCATTCAGCCCAGAAACTTGAACTTGGACCTTCTATCTCTCAGATGAGTCTCCTATTCTGGGATGGGTATCTCTCTCTTTTTTCCCCCCCCCAAAAAAATTGGAAAGGTCTTGGGTTTTTTCTGATGTAGAATGGAAACGAATGTTGAAATTCTGAGGTTTTTTTGCCAAACAGAATTCTTGTTTTCCAGCCAGCCCTACTCTGTAGCAGCTGTGTGGTGTCTATCAGGGGTCCTTTGACGATATTTTGAATATGTCTGTGTGTTTGAGTTTTCATTCCAGGGCTGGAGGACTGTGGTGATGGGAGTCCCAACCCGCCCCAGGAAATAGAAAAGGAACTGGATAGTTTACATCAGGGAAATAATTGCTCTGGGTTTTCTGCTCTGAAGTGAGCACCACTCACAGCATCCTCCACATGGGTTCTCCACAGCGTATTTTATTTGGAAAATACGTATGTATATCTTATAACACGGTGGCTTGCTCATGGGCTGGAGAGCCTGGGGCTAAGGCAGCCTGGATTAAAAGAAGAGATTTACCTGAGGGGAATCAGGTGATTTAACATAAAAGGCAGCAGGAAGCTTCAGGGGGTGTGGCTGGTTGGGAGGTTGGGGAGGTGGGGGTCAGATGGATGCACGGCCAGAGCTCTGTCCAGAGAGGGCTGGGAACTGGTGGCTTCAGGTAGAGCGTATGGTTTTGTACTTTATGTTGGATTATTTTGTGATCACGGCTCCTATTGTATTTAGTATTGAACCAGCCCCAGAAAGAGGTGCTAAGCTACAACAAAGACTTTGTGGAGCGTGAGGGGGCTACTGAAGGGAGGGCACTGCAGAGAGACCTGTGGCCACAAATGGGTGCTCATATAGCTCCTGAAAGCTTTGTGCTGGAAGGTATCCCAGCTTCTGGAGTAAGTGACTGGAAATGGGATTGGTCAATCTGTCTATTTGAGACATGCAATGTCAGCAAGAAAACGACACACTTCTTTTTATAAATAAAGACATGATGGAAGGAGGAATACAACAGGCTGGCAGAGGTTCTGGAGCAGGTTGGCTGTCCCATCACCGGGTTAATTAAAATGTTCCCAAAGCATTATATAAATGTTATAACACAAAGGTTTCAGAGTAGCAGCCGTGTTAGTCTGTATCTGCAAAAAGGAGGACTTGTGGCACCTTAGAAACTAACACATTTATTTGAGCATAAGCTTTCGTGAGCTACAGCATCCGTACATAAGCTTTCGTGAGCTACAGCATCCAATGAAGTGAGCTGTAGCTCACGAAAGCTTATGCTCAAATAAATTTGTTAGTCTCTAAGGTGCCACAAGTCCTCCTTGATAACACAAAGGGTGTGTCTCCAGTAGTCTGGGACACCTGATTCTCAGCATTTCATCACAGGCCTGTTTCTTGTTCCTGAGGAAGGAAATGGTGGTACCTTGCAAAGGAGTGTACTACCCCTTTAAGGGACAGCCAGGTGCTCACAACCAAAACAGCCTCGGGTAATCAAGAGGGCTACCTGCTCCACCTGAAGGCTGTCCTATTTAAACAGGAACAGGAAGCAGAGCAGAGAGGGGACTAGAAGCTATCCAGTTTGCAAGTGGTGGTGAGATCTCTCCCTTGCTGCTCCAGAAGAGAAGCCTGACCAGGTAGAGACTTTGTTTGAGGACTCTGAGTTGAGGAGCTCTGAAGCAGGGTCCTAAGGGCCTTTGCTCTGATTACAACTGCTCCTTCCATGAGACTCTATTCAAGGAGACGGACTCGTTTGGATTGTGTTTGTTTTTTGGCTTCCCTTGACACAGGTCCTTTGCAGGGAACATTCTGGTGTCCCATCTGTGGAAACTAAAGTGGGGCTCACCAGCAGTACCTCACCTGACCACAAGGGGTTGCGCAGGGAGGGCCCCCACCTTTACATGCCTGCGTCAGCAGCTCCATTAACACGTGCCCACCGTCCCATCTCGCCATCCCGAGAACATAAGTGCTGTCTGTGACCACTGCCATGGGCCCCACCTGCTGAGTCGGGGCATCTGGCTGCGCTTCAGAGGCCGTGGCCAGTTAATTCCGGTGCAGCCCACAGTCTCCTCCAACTTCCAGTGGTGCCAATGCTCACCACTTGGACCGCGGCTGAGCCAGTTTCACAATGACATGAGAAACTCCAGCCCTCCTCCAATTTCTAGCCCTGCCCAGAGGGAAGGCCCCTCTGATTGGTTGCCTCTTCCACTTCCCTGCCTCCTGGGGAAGAACAGCCAATCAGGGCTGCTTTGGCGGCAGGGAGAGCTCTCCCCTCCCCAGCCCTTCGGGACCCAAAAGGAGATTTGGGGTAAGGGAGAGCAGAGAAGGGAGCAGAAAAACCCCATCAGCTTGGGGTGACTCTGCTCCCTCCTCACCCTCCCCCCATGAGCAATGGACCAGTCTGCTCTCAGCTCCTCCTCCCACCCCTCTCCATTCCTGCGACACTGACCGGGGTGGGGGTGGAAGACCCTTGGAGCTGCAGGAGGAGCAGAGATGCAGTGAGGGGCACAGGGTGGTTGCAGGGCAGGGGGGCTGGGCAGTATTAATTGCTGGGCTGGGGAGCAGGCAGATTTGGGGCTGGGGGCGCAGAATGAGTTAGAATTTGGGGGGTTAGGGAGAAGCTGGAAGCTTCGCCCCACCTGGCAGCCAGTGAGCGCGCCGAGAGCAGGGGCCAAATCACCTCACAGTATAAAATCGGGAGAGATGGCAGCACTTGTAACCGTCTCACACACACACTGGGGTGAGCAGAGGGGGGTCAACAATCAAAAGGCAGCCCCAAACCCCCACGCGTCGCCTTTAAAAACAAAAACCAATTCCTGATTTTGGGGGCAGTCCTCATGATTTTTTGAAATCTGACTCATAATTTTTGACCCTTTGGAAGTTAGCAATATGGTTTCTGGCACTTGTTTTGATGACCTCTTCCTTGCCCTCAAGCAGTCTGCTTACACATGTCCAGCCGCCATCCATCATCTCTTCTACAAGATGCCTCCCTCCACAACTTGTTTGCAGTGGTGTTGCAGCCCTGTTGGTCCCAGGATATTAGCGAGACAAGTTGGGGCAGGTGATCTCTTTTATTGGACCGACTTCTGCGGGGGAAAGAGAAGCTTGCCAGTGACCCAAAGAAGAGCTTTATGGGACTCCAAAGCTTGTCTCTTTCACCTACAGAAGTTGCTCCAGTAACAGAGATTACCTCCTGCACCTTGTCTTTCCCTTCACAACTGACTGCTGTATGGAAAACACTAAGATACCCGGGGCCAAATCCTCAGCTGGTGTAACTGGGCATAGCTTCAGCTTTATGCTGATTTATACGAGCGGAGACTCTGAGGAGGTACAGATGCCCTGAATACCGCCCAATGCATTTCATTATAGCAACTTCCCCATTGCTTTCTGTGTCTTGCTGGAGGATCCTGAACATTTTAATGTGGTGAAAGTGAAGCCTCAGTCTGGCAAGCTCATACGAACATTTCTAAAAGAAGCTATGGCCAAGTAATACATTCTGTTCTGGAGGTGGGGGTGCCGTGTTAAACATGGTTCCTGTTACAGCAATAAACCGGAAGGTGTGCAATAAAACAGTGTAATGGAACGCAGATTACATTGAATTGCTCCAAGTGCTAGAATTGAACAGGAAATGATTAAATACTCTTTTACTGTAAAGGAGGAAAGTGGTGTGCTCCA